GGAAATCTGCATAACTACCCCCTTGAGCTCAGACAAAATGGTAAAAATAAAAATTTTAGTAGAAATTATGCGGGAATTATTTTTTAAGACTATATATTTTTATTTGCCTTATGCCTACCATTTTTTCTCACGGTATTTCTCAGAATACTGGAAAAAAAAACATTTACTATAATAGGGTTGTACTTTTGAAACCAAATTCAAGTAATACTGTTATGGACTGGTTCCTTTCTGTTCTGCCAGTCGCGATAGTTTTCGAGACTGGCTGTCATTCGCGAGGTCTTTACGCGATGATTCTGGAATCTTAGACGTTCTGTCATCTTTGAGACAATTCGAGAATTTTGGAAATGCGGTGGAAAATTATATAAAACGGGGAACGGAGTACAATGTAAGTTTTTCTGTTGTACAGAAATGTGATACTTCCGTTGAAGAAAACGTTTTTAGCATAACAAAATCTGATGAATGTGAAAGTGGTCCTCAAAGTGTTACTTCCCATCCTTATGACATTAGACTTTTTTCAGAAGATATTACATGCAAAAAGATATTACATTATGTCCTTAAACTTAAAAAATCAAATCAAAATTTAACTAAACAATGTTGTCTAAATAAAAAGTCAAAACTGTCTAGCTGTCTAAATTAGGGAAATAATAGTGCTTTATTACATACTCGAATTTCTTTTAGTAGCTTCAGAAAATTATGAACACCCCCCTTGAAAAAATTCTGCGTACGCCACTGGTGGGGTGAATAGTTTTGTCTTTATCTTCGCGTAGGTCATCGTGAGTAAACTAATCGACACCTTCTTTCCTCCATTTCACCCCCATTAGAAATGTGCTCTCGCTTGTTACCTTTGCAGCAAACAGCCCCAGACTTTCAGTCTGGAGGAGTTCTCCTTAAAACCGCACTATATCTTACCGCTTCAGTTTCTTGAGATTATTTATTTAAAGACATATTGTGTTTAGTGTCACTATGTATGCGTTTTGAGCGAAGTCTGGGAACAGCAGTATACAATACATTATTTCCACATTGATTTCAGTATTGCGAGACAAAATAATCGGACTCAATAACAGTATATCAATAAACTAACAAATAAGACAAAGTAAAATCTTGGTGGCTCTTCCACAAGGCTTGTGTCAAACTATTAAATACCCAAACATGAAGGTTGAAATTATTTTATCTCAATCAAATGGTTTATTAGATTCAAAGTAATTTTAAAAGAACATGCACAAATGTGCTAAATGTGCCTTGTAATATGTGTTAAATTCTGAAGATATTACTAATTTTGAGATCCCAAGATTACAAGTTGTTTTACATCTAGCAAAAAGGTTTAGTTGAATTACAATATAACCAGGGATCTACAAATACCAGTCGCGGTTGATATTTTGCATATTTTGACTGTTTTTGTGTACCAAAAATGTGATTTTATTTTTTCAAAAACTTAGTTTTTAAATGACGTCATCGTTTGCACTGGATTCTGTCTTTTAATCTTTTATTTATTTATTTTTTTTATGCATAGCACCCATGACCTTTTTTATACAGAAAAGCGTTATTAAATGACCACATTTTATTTACTTCCTTTCTTCTTCAATTAGAAACATTTCTAAAATAAACATGGCTGTCGATTTTTTATACATTTTTCCACAATTGAATTGAAAATTAATAAAAAATTATTCGACCACTATGGATCTTTTTGTCAGCGTATATGCCGTATGCTAATTTGAATATCCAGCTCTTTGCAAACTACCGACGACTTTTCATAGGCTTGCTGCAGTGAGCCATGCAGAAGCACTGTAAAAATGACGTCGACAGTTAAGAAAGAGCCGGATTTTCCAATTAACTTACGATTAGCAGGATTTCCTGTAACTTAATTTTTTTGAAACCAGAATAATGAAAATAAATTTACTCTTAACATACCTGAGACATTTTTATTTTTTAGTCTGCGCTTCCAAATTTATCCCAAAAGTATGCCAGATCGTCCTGCACTGTTTTATTTTGAATCTAAAGTCTTGTGTGAACTTTTCTTCTTAAAAAAAAGTTTATGAAAATATTTTTAGACAGTAAAACAATAACTCGCGAACGTAAGAATTGCAAAACTACGATGGAATCATCTGAATTAAATGGAATTTTATAAAGACTAGTATTACTAAAAAAATAGTTCCAGAAATTAGTATTTAGCACCTTTTGGGACACCTTAAATAAAGCGTATAACTTTTTTGAACATTAAAGGAAATCAAAAACAGCATATGGTGTAATGAATAAAGCAATATACGGCATAATGAACAATATGGTATAATGATTGCTGATCGAATGAGCTATACTTATTTTTATTTTAAATTGTTTAAAAACTTTCATATTTTAGATGACATCTCAGACAGTGAGAAACAGACGCCGGTCTATCAAGTAGAATAGCAAGGAAGAAGCCTCTTCTCACTGATGATCAAAAAAGAGGAAGATTAGCATTTGCCAACGCACATTGCATGATTGGGGTAGAGTCCTTTTCACGGACGAAAGCTGTATTCAATCAGATTATTCTAGTTGTATAAGGGTTTGGCGACCTGTTGTAATGCTTAATGACCCCTTATATTTCCAGAATATACACCGAAGTTGCCGTGTTTCGATACCTGTGTGGGGCTGCCTCTTCTCATCAGGACTTTGAGCTCTTCGTCGGATCGTCGGTAGTCTGGATACAGCTCGATCGTGATTTACTTGAGCATATTATGATTTCAGATGTCATGGAAATCATTTTAACGATGGCTGCTTTGTTTTCCAGCAAGATAACTCTAGGATACATCGTAGCAAGATCGTTAAAAAAACTGGTTAAACCAGCAGGCAGTTGAAACCATGGCATGGGCTAGTAATTCTCTGGACTTGATTCCCATTGAAAATGTATGATCTGAGTTGAAAAAGAAACTCATTCTCACTAGCACTCCATCATGTGATGAATTCTGGGGCAAATTCCAGGAAACTTGGGAGGAGCTGAAGAAAGATCGACTATTTGCGGCTTATCCGATTAGCAACATGCCAAATAGACTTACCGAAGTCGTCCACCGCCAAGGCCTCATGACAAAATATTAATATGACAAAATATCAATTATTATTTTAATAGGCAAATAAAATATTTTGTTTAAAATCTCTTTTTTTATTCAACATTATATCATTTTATGCTTTACAGAATATCAAAGTGGTGCTATGTAAATAGGAAAATGTTTGAGTTTATTTATATTAAAATCCATAGTTTAAGTTCAGAACCTTCTTTCATGGCACTTGTTAACCAAGGTACTGTAATGATATTGCCAGCATTTCAACCAAAATAACTAATTCGTTCTGTTTAAAAATATCTCTAGCACACGACCTTTTTTTCGAATGTAACATACCGCCTTCAACTCCGATTAAATGAAGCCTGTCAGGAATTTGCACTTCATAAGATTCGCAAATGATACTAAGTAAATTTGGTTTGCAGTAAAAAGAGTTGATATTATTTACGCATTTATTTCTTTAGCTCATTAAAATAATTCGGTAATCTGGTCTATTCGATAATCTGGTCTACCGTAAAGTGCTCGACTTCATACGCAGCTCATCGGGCTACCAAAGCGAGGGAACTACTCCTTCAGCAGATGATTAAAATTGTGATGGCACTGTCTTCGAATCATCCTCGATGATGTTTTCCAGACTGTCACCATTAGCCCATTGTGCAGCACCAATACGACTTAATTAAAGTACTACTTCTGTTATGAAATCTTTTTCGTTACTTGGGTAAAAATTTCATAATTTCTTGTGATTTTTTTCCGTCGGGGCCAGATTTTTTTTCTCTTCATTGCTGAGCAACAGACTTCTCTGGAGAGAAATTTCCTGTTACTTTTCGTTTAACCGGGAGCAGCAAAAAACGTAGACCTCAGCTAACTTTTTTTTATTCCGTTTATTTTTTAAACACATAAAAATTAAATTAAATAACACAAAAAAAATTTGTCGAATTTATTTGAGCCTGGCTAACCGTAATTGAAAACTTTTGAAAAATAAAGTAAAAAAAATATAATAAATTCGTCAACTTTTTTTACTAGCGTTACAAAATGCATGTAAAGGATTAATCTTTTTAATGTGCTTTTCAATTTTGCATTTAGAACGATTGTTTCACTCTGCGGCCCTTTGCTATATTGGCCATTTGCTGAAATATCTCATTCAGTTTAAAATCTTTGGTCTAGGTAAGAAAATAAAATTTGTAGCCAATGCTTAGGGAAAAAAACGTTAATCTGGCGTATTACTGAGCAAGAAAGGAAAAGCAAATAAATTAAAATTCCTTCATTACTTAATTTTATTTTAAATATGAACTGAGAAATTAGAAGAAAGGTATTCGAAAGTATGAAAAATTTAGCTTTTTTGTCATTCATCACAATTTTTGAGGTTTATATTCCAATACTCTTGTTTAGTATAGATTTATGACATCTTGACATACACCTCTGACTTACTATGAATGACAATAGTACTGAGTCTTGTTTTTTTTCTGATTATCAATTGCTAAATACAATAAGAATATAGCCTAACATTAACATTATGCATAACAACATACTATTGATTATAAAAATTTTAGTTAATTAAATATGTAATTACACTGAATAAAAATCTAAAATAATCACTTATAATTGGCAATTGAAACAAGTACTACAAATTTTGATGACATCTTGAATTTCATTTTCTAATATTAAAGTGTAATTATTTAATTATTGAAATGTAAACAAACCTCTCGTTAAAAGAATTTTTGGTTTCAAAATATTGAACATCTGCTAAATTGACAAATTTCTATTTATTTTATGAATGCAAGTACAAGCTATTATTTGAGAATACTGATGAAAACCATACAAAAATATTTTTTTTTCTGATATAATAAAAAAGAATCTGTGACTAACTATAAACTGTTTATACTTTTACACGCAATGCATAATTAAGCCAAAATTAAAATTTTCGAAACAATGAACACATTTTATTTTTTAAGTAAACATGAAATTTTAAATAGAATGCAGCGTTCAAAATTTGCTTTTTAAATTATATCGATTTATTCAAAAGCTTGGGTATTGACATATTAATTATACATACATATGGATGGGGTTTTAAATATAAATATAAACAATAACAATCTCAAGCTTTTGACCTGCTCTACTTCCGGTTAGAAAGTTTACAGCTGCTTATTACAGTTTATAGTGCGAAGCGATATTTTCAAACAGATAATTTTGTCTTTAATAAGAGAAATAAATTGTATAATTTCTGAGCTCAAATCTGCTGTATTTCATCAGATATTGATTATATTTAGCAATTCTGGTGAGTTTGAAGTGAAAATTTGTTTTAAGATGTATTGTTAAAAAGGCTGACATGGTGAACGGCAATGTGAGCCAATGCCTTCCTCTGAAGACTTCCGAATTATCTTTGATCCCCAATTCTTTTGATTAATTGCAAGAAATTCAGACTCCACTGAGTCAGTCCATCTCAACCGCGGCCTTCCCCGCTTTCTCGTTTCAGTGGGTCTAAAAAGCGGTATCTTTTTTATTATATTGTCATCATTCATTCGAATCACGTGGGCCATCCGATTCCTTCTTTTTATTCTTATGTATTTAATAATACCATGTTGTTTATAAATCTTGTACAGCTCAAAGTTAAATCTCCTTTTCCAGTTATTGTTTTCATTTACACCACCAAGTATACGTCGCAAAATCTTTCTCTCAAATATCGCGATGCAATTTTCCTCTAGTTTTGCCATTGCTCAGAAGCGTATGTCAAGACTGGCCGGACAAGAGTCTTGTAGATTAAGAACTTTGTTTTTCTAGAAAGAAAGCTAGATTTAATAAATCTTCTCAGCCCATAGACAGCCCTATTTCAGTCAGTTTTTTTATTTCAGGAGTCATTCTGTTCTCAATGGTAATAATTGATCCTAAGTAAGTAAAGCTCTTTTCTGTTTCGAATCTATAAAAAAAAAAATTCAAGATAGAGGTCTGGGGCTCTGTTTCTTGTGAATAACATATATTTCGTTTTCTCTACATCTATGACTAAATCCATTTGCCTTGCAGCCACCTCAAGGGCAAGAAATGCCACCTACGTATTACAAGATTTTAAGAAGGCTTGTAACATTTCTTGAATAAGTTTAACACTTCTACTTTTAAGTTATGTGTTTCATTTTTCAATTATTTAATTTTAATATAAATCTATGATATAACGGTTTCCAGGATAAAACTCTAAAACAGAGCCCATCATTTGATTAAGAAAAAAGAGACACATTTTCAAAAAGTAATTTTTAAAACGCAGCTTAATAAAAAAAAATAATTAATAGATTTAAATAAAAGCTACCTAAATAATCACATTAAATTCATGAGGGGTAACAAATTTTGCTTACAAAAGAGTAAAAAAAAGGAAAGGAAAGAAAAGAAAAAAGAAATCGATACTAGAATAGGTATGTATTACTCTTGGTAACTTGAATTTCTGTCTGAATTGACAATAAATTCCTCAAATGTCGGTTTCTCGGAGTGATCCGTTACTGTTACCGATCATCATAGTTACTAAATTGCAAGTTGTAATAATGACAAAGGAAGTAATACTTAACTGCATATTTATTCCTTTTTTACTAAGTATTAATAAAAATAAGAAATAATGAGAAAAGAGTTTGAAAGTAATATTATGAAAAACGAGCTTAACCTAAATTATAATTAGAAAAATTATTTATAAAGTAGACTTGAAATAATGAAAAAAGAATATATGTTGCTTAGTTTTTGAAATAAAAAAATATTAATCCACAATTTTATTAAAATAATGGCGATAAAAATAACATAAGTAGAAATTAAAAAAATTATAATAATATAGTGTTAAAACGTACATAAGAACAAGATAAATAAATAAAAATTCTAAAATGTCCATCCCATTATAAAAAAATTAAGTCTTTTTTTTACGAGAGTTTAGAGGCAACACTACCTACATAATTATCTGAAACAGCTTTTTTTATAACAAGATTTTGCTAATTTGGCTGAATTATGAAGTTTGGCAATGGCTGGTGTTTTCTACACTAGGGAACGCTGCAAGCTCGGTACCGCCTAAATTTCCGGGTTACTGTTTCCGTTGTATTTTAAAGTCATTTGACATCATTGTGTTTTGAGATTCTTGCAAACCATGTATTTGATTACTTATTACTTGTGCTTACAATGCTAACAATACTGGTGTTTACAATGCTAAAAGTGTTAACACTAACGTAAGATGGGGCACAGCTTGCAACAAGAACAAACAGTAATAAACTTATGGAAAGAGGCCATATCAAGACTGCCAAAAAAGCGAGTTATTCAAAATCTAGCAACCATGTCACCTTTTTTAA